TTAGGGGGAAAAGCCTCCCCCCACCCCTATAGGGGTAGGAGATCAAGCCTCAAATTTTTAATTCATTATAGAATTTAAATAATTTATTAATAAATAATAAAATAATTATAGAATTTACTCTTTTTAGTATAATATAATTTTATTAATAAAATTAAATATTGATTAGTAATATTTTCAAAAATTTTATTTAATAAAATTAATTATATTTTAAGTTATATTTATTAGTAAGTTAGTAGTTTCTATACATTTATAAATATTATAAAAAATCCAGTTTATTAACTAATAAATAATATAAGTATTTATTAAATTATTATTTTAAATTTTTCTAAATAAATTTAGTTTATTAGTAGTAATATAATTAAGTTATTAATAGAATATATAAGGTATTAAATATATAATGTTTTCATTATATATATTATTTAGTAGTTAATATTTTTTTTATTTATTAATATTAATATTCCATCTAATAGCTAAAGCTTAGAAGTATTTAATATTTTTAATTAATTAAATTAGTAAATTTAACTAAATTAATTATTATTAGGTTTATTAGAAGTTTAAGTTTCTAGTATATATAATATATTTAGTAGAAGGAGGGGGGGTTAATATATTTAAATTCAGTTAGTTTAGTAGTATTAGTTAAATATTAAATAAGAATTTTATAATCTCTTAGAAGCTTAAAGAAATATTATATAATTTAAGCTCCTAAATATAATAAAGTAGTAAATAAATCCTTTAATATCTAATTAAATATTAAAAAAGCTAATAAATAGATATTAAAATAAATAATAATAATAGACTATAAGATAGTAGGCTATTTTATAGCTATTTATCCATAGAATAATACTTATTCATTAGCTAATAGGTGCCTAAGCGAAATAATAAAGGAGGTGGCGGCGGCAGCGCATCCTATATCCGATACACTGGCCAAACGCCGGCTCCAACATTTTTCGATCTGAGAACGCGTTTTAAAGTGAATAAGAATGACTAAGCGAAGCTCCTTTTTCTTGGCAAGTTTGAACTGTTTGCATTCTGCGATAAGATTGGGAAGCTGGCAACCCCTCGACAAAAAGCGACATATCGCCCGTTTCAACCCCGGAGGTCCACGGTCGAAGCCATGGACTCCTAATCAAACGTGAGAGTATCATGGGCATTCCGATGGACGACATCCATACTCCTACGGTGCCTGCTGGGCCCGTCTCGGGTGCGGGCTCTACAAGCACGGATCTCTCAAAGGCGGGCCTGACGCAGCTCTTTGATGACAAGGAGAAGCTAGAGGCAGAGTTGAAAATACTTAGCGACGTTCTCGTATCTGTATGCTGATGTCTATCCTATCCAGCCAGACTTTTATTAACGGAGGTCTAACAAATTGCTATAGCATGGCGTTGATATGAACACGAATCTGCTTACTGAAGACGGATTCCCAAGGGCAGATCTGGATATTGCACAAAGTACAGTGGCTCAATCTACCTCATTTCTTGGTGGCCTCTTCCTCTAACTTCCTTGTGGTGGATAGTTCGGACTACGAGAGCGCGGATAATACGTTTACGAAACGATTATAAGGCCGTCATGTTGAAAGTTGAAGATGGTTTAGCTGCGTATTTTGCTAGCACAAAAGATAAAGACGGGAATATTTCCGCTACTCCGTCTATCCGCCCCTCAGCAACATCTCGAAATGTAGAGGGAGTTCCTACAGCCCAGGTGGACACCCTCGACATGCCATTTGCCAAGGTCAACAGTGTGGCGGACGGGAGTCCTGCAGCCAAAGCTGGCCTGAAGGCTGGAGACAAGGTCTGCAACTTTGGTAACATAACCTGGGCTAACCATGAAAACCTGACGAAGATTGCAGCGGTTGTTACAAATAACGTAGAGGTAGATGCCCCCTGGATTTGCAAAAAGCTTATTTACTCTAGCTTCATTTTCGCTGACACTTATTTGGTGTGATTAGCTTCCTATCCTTGTCAAAATAATGAGAGATTCTGATGGAGAAAACTCGCCACTTACCTTGCGGCTCACTCCAAGTCACAACTGGGGCGGCCGAGGGCTGTTGGGTTGTCATTTAGTGCCATTGTGAAGCACTGTTCACTTTACCTTTCGCCGCACGATGGTGAAATAACCCATTGCCATATTGGAAGGGCACGGTTGTTTATCAGCTGGTTGGAATTTGATGCCTTCATAGCTTGAGAGGGTTAGGTTGTCTGATCTTCTGACAAGGCCATTCTGCCATGAGTAACCACAGCTACTGCATTGTACAAATATATACGGAGTACTGAAGGACGAATCAAGCACTTTTTACTAATAAAGCCAGCGATATCGAAAATCACCCTTACAATAGCTAACACAACATAACATTAGGAATGTATTGTTCTTTATGTCATTTTATTCTATAGCTAAAGGGAATTTCAACGCTCCTGATAACATGAAATCTGGTTGGTCAACAGCCTAGTCGCGATACTCTGAGTACTTTCGACATTTAATATTGAATATCAACTGCAACCCGCTTTGCTTCTTCCACCTTTAATGAGCCGCAACCGTCACTTAATTAGTCAGCCCCCTCCGTGTGGCAAGGGCTAGTCACGTGCCTACATAAATTTCAACCCAACCTTCTGTTCCGTTTCGGGCTTGTTTTTTTCGTTAGTTGACATCGTCGCCTTTTTAACGACTTCTGCTTTTCCTTCGATACCCAACTACCGGCATCAGACTCGCCTGTCTGTCCTCATCGCCAGCGACAGATAGCATCTACCGGCCGATTTCGTCTTCTCAGGTCTTATCTAAGGCTGTCCCTGCCCCTCCCTTCTCACCAACAACCCCTCCCCGCATAAAAAATGGCTGCTGTGTCTGAAGAGAACATACCCACCTTCAAGCTCGTCCTTGTCGGTGACGGTGGTACTGGAAAGGTGAGCCTTTGTCACCGCGCAGCTTGTGGTGATGCGTGATATTTTCTGCGGCCGAACGAGCATCTAAATGCACGATATGGCACCGTGTTCTTTGGGAAGTGGCTCAGCTAACCATATATTTACTGTAGACTACCTTCGTTAAGCGTCATCTTACTGGTGAATTCGAGAAGAAATACATTGCTACTCTCGGTGTCGAAGTTCACCCACTGAAGTTCCAGACCGTACGTCACCATGCCCTCCCATCCAGGTTTAGGCTACCATGACAAGCCTTTGTGGAAACGACTTCAGCCTCATACTAACCCTACAATCATCAGAACTTGGGTCCGATTAAGTTTGACGTCTGGGATACTGCCGGTCAAGAAAAGTTCGGTGGACTTCGAGATGGATACTACATCAACGGCCAGTGCGGTATCATCATGTTTGATGTCACTTCCCGTATCACCTACAAGAACGTCCCATCCTGGCACCGTAAGTGGAATCCCCTCTATTTTCTTGATATTTGTGTGATATAATAATCAAGCTAACCCCACGAAACACGATAAGGTGACCTTGTCCGTGTCTGTGAAAATGTCCCAATTGTCCTCTGTGGAAACAAGGTCGATGTCAAGGAACGTAAGGTCAAGGCCAAGACTATAACCTTCCACCGCAAGAAGAACCTTCAGTACTACGACATCTCTGCCAAATCCAACTACAACTTCGAGAAGCCATTCTTGTGGTTGGCCAGAAAACTTGTTGGAAACCAGGGCTTGGTCAGTCTTATCCCTATCACTTCCCTTTTCCGCACCTTCTATCTACGAACTAACATTGGAACAGGAATTCGCTGCCGGCATTGCTCTTGCTCCTCCAGAAGTCAACGTTGACCTCGCCGAGCTCCAGAAACAGGAACAGGAAATGAAGGAGGCCGCCAGCATGCCTCTGCCAGACGAGGAGGATGCCGATCTGTAAACTGGATCGTTGAAAAATCAGCTGGACGATTGCTCGCTCGCCTTTTCCAAAATTGATCAGGCCAGGTGCAAGGATACGTGGACATGATTTGGTTTGGAACGGGATGTAATACAGAAACAATTGACGATGAGAACGAATAGGAGAAAGAAGAATCAAAAGAAGAAAAAAAAGTCTCAACAAAATATTTGAAACAAAGAAATCAGTTTCTGCACCGCATACAACAACACAAACCAATCGAAAACAAGCATAAACAGCATGTCCAGCATGGGTGATATCTTAGAATGACGGCAAGCATTAACTTCAACGTCAAGGTTATCAGGCAAAATTTACAAAATACAATACCCTTTTAGTAATATCCTTACTCAAGGAAACACAACCATATAATTCCTTAATATTTAAGCTACGGGCTGCGCATTTGGAAAGACCACAGGGTCTTTTGCTGAGCTAGAGTAAGTGGGCTGACGTCAAGCTTCTAGCCCTATAGTTACGTCAGAGCACCCTGTCTTTCGTAGGACTGGGTTTGATACAGATTTTGATACCCCAGTACATTTTAAACCGTATTACTTGGGAAACGACTATTCAAGGGCAAACTGCATCCTCTCAATGAAGCAACGTCAAAAAGCTGTAAGAGAGCATAACCGTTTTCTGTGACACGTTGAGGCTGCTTTCTATTCTATGGGCATTCTATCTGTTGTATAACGGAGTCTTGCACAACAAGGGAGGTAGGTACAAATAAAATAAACACCTAAGACACTCGAAAGAACCTACCCAGGGTATATGTCTATGGATCTGATTGTATGTTGAGGGAATATATGTACCCGCAACCAAGACCGAAAATAAAAGAAGGTAAAAAGAAGATAAGAAACGGGGATATCAAACAACACCTGTTGCAAAGGACAAAATGTACCGCCCACAAAACCTATACAAGATACCATGAGAATGAAAGGAAGGGGGAAGACAAAGGAGAGGATATACCTAAATATGAAAAGAAATGTAAACATAAGGAAGCGTTGTGTTGTGTGATAGGTTGAAAAACAAGAGAATGAACCGAAACCGAGCCTAGTAGTATCCTACGATTGGTACCAACATTTCTCCCAACTGGAGGCGCAAGATGTTGAATACAACATCAAGCATTGAAAAAAAAAAAAAAA